AGACATTAAAAGTTTCCTCCTCCTTACCTACTCGGAATGTCAACTTGCCTCTCCCGACATCGATGAGTGCATCGCCAGTTGCTAGAAAAGGTCTCCCAAGAATTAGAGGCACTCCCCGATCTTCTTCCATCTCCAGAATAACAAAATCTGTTGGGAGAATAAACTTCCCAACCTTCACCAATACATTCTCCACCACTCCTTTTGGAATTTTCACTGATCGATCAGCCAATTGGAGAGTGATTTGAGTAGGCTTAAGAACATATCCCAATCCCAATTTCTTGTATACTGAGTATGACATCAAATTAATTCCTGCTCCAAGATCACAAAGTGATTTATTGAATTCTGTACCTCCAATGACACATGGAATGGTGAAGCTGCCCGGATCATCCCTCTTTTCTGGTAATTTATTCTGAATCACAGCACTACATTCAGAAGTAAGGGTTACCTTCTCTAGATCAGCCCATTTCCGCTTCTTTGTCAACAACTCTCTTAAGAATTTAGCATATGTAGGCATCTGTTCAAGTGCCTCTGCCAAGGGTATGTTAATCTGAAGTTGCTTGAAGATATTCACAAATTTCTTGAAGTTTGGGTCTTCCATGGGCTTCATTAACCTCTGAGGGAATGGTGCGGGTGGGTCATAAGGTTTTAGCTCCTCCCTCTTCGCATTTTCCCCTGTTGGTTTTACACGGGCAGCATGCTTTTGCACAGGCAAACTGCTTTCATTTTGCCTGTGCAAGGCTGATTCTTCATTTTCTACACAAGATCTTTCTCCCGGTGCTTCCTCTTCTGCCTCTGGTGCCTTTTTCGAGCTGCTAGGGTCTTCCAAGGCCTTTCCACTCCTCAATGTCACTGCTACAACCATGGCATCCTTCGGATTCCTCTCAGTATTTGCTGGTAATGTCCCAGGAATCCTGCCTTGCATATCTGCCAAAGTTTGAGCCATCTGTCCCATCTGCCTCTCCATAGCTAGCATAGACGATTGTAAATTATTGTTGATGGCTAGCTGTTGAGTGACAAATTGATCCAGGACCTTGAAATTATTGTCTGTTTTCTGCATATGAGCCAAAATCAACTCCTCCAGCCGGGGCTTCTTCTCTGGTTGAGGTTGCTGCTGTTGAAAACCAGGAGGTGGGATGTTTCGAACACTAGCTGGATTATTGTTTGACCATGACATATTGGGGTGATGTCTCCATTGAGGGTTATATGTATTTGAATACATACCACCCTGACCTTGACTTCGCGGATTATTGATATACTGAACATCTTCCAACTGAGCAGTTCCCAGCGGACACATATCCCTATGATGAGGACCCTCGCAAAGTTCACATGAAGCAACCTCCTCTTGTCTACCCAAAGCAATCTTGGCCCGCCTTCGTTCGAGTGCATCGAACTTGGAATCCAGCTTAGCATCAATCTTTGCTTTTAAACTTGCAACTCTGTCTATCTCATGCAAGCCTCCTCTCCTTCGAATACTGGTCTCACTACCCCATTCAGTGGCTTCTGAACAGATCTTCTCTACCAGATCATATGCTGCTGGTGCCTCCATGCTTGTGAAACCATTTCGACAAGCATTATTCAGGGCATCCCGAAACTCCCTTCTGATTCCATTGAAGAAAATAATGATCACGTTCCAATCTTCAAGACCATGGCTTGGGCATCTCATCAACAGCCCCTTGTAGCGATCCCATGCCTCAGTCAGACTCTCATCATCAGCCTGCTTAAAAGTAACAATCTCTTCTTGCCTCTTCATTGCCAAGGCAGGTGGGAAGTATTTATCCAGAAATACCTTCTCAAGCCGACCCCATGTCGTGATGGAACGGGGTGTTAAGTTTTGGAACCAGTGTGATGCATTCCCTAGCAGAGAAAATGAGAACATCCGAAGACGGATTGCATCATCAGACACGGTCGGGCTCTTCATAGTATCACAAATGCTCGCGAACCGGCGAAGATGCTCATGAGGATCCTCACTGCTAGCCCCGGAAAAGGTGTACCCATTAGTGATCATATTGATGAAGGCTGGGATAATCTCCATGTTTGCATCCCCAGCCGGAATGACAACACATGAAGCTCAGGCTCCAGTCCTTCGATTCAAGCGAGCCCTGATCGAACGATCCTGTTCTGCCATGATAACAGGCTCGATGATGTGCGGCGATGGTGTTGGTGGTGTAGGGATGACAGGTGGTGATACCTTCCTTCTCGGTTGACGATTCTGAGTTAGGGAAGGCCTAAGAGTTGTGGATGTGCTAGACTGCTTCCCTAACTTGACCTGCTTCCTGTTCTGTCGGCAGGTCCTCTCGATCTCGGGATCTAGTGGCAGTAAATTGCCAGTCGTCCTCGTTGGCATGCACGAGGAGGATAAACCTGAAAAATTCACCTACACACTAACACCCAGATCAAAATAGTTCACTCACAAAAATCAACAAAAATAAGGTATGGCAGTCCCCGGCAACGGCGCCAAAAACTTGATAGGGCAAAAGCGTAATGCTTAAATTCCTATCTCGTAGTAAACCGGAAAGTCCGGGTATCGTCTCTCAGGGACTGGTACAACCTTATATTCTATCAAATTTATGAGCAAACTATAAGTGAAAATAGTTTAATGAGACTAATTTCTAAAAGCAAAATAAAATAAACAAATTAACTAAATGAAAACTGTCGGGAGAAATTTAATGGAGAAAGCTCTGGGAGAAACACCGGGATTCACTACCTATCCTATCTAGATTAATTCACATATTCCAATCAATTTAATCCATATCTCTACAACCAGGATATCACGAATGTGCTAGCTATCCCTGTCGGGAATTACTACGTACTAAACAATTAAATCAAATCCTACTGTCGTAGCTCAATGACCTAATTATTTAGTCTGAAGACCGATATCCTATTTAAGACCGCATAGCACCTTATTTAATCCACTGTCGCTTCGATAAGTTACTATGTCACATGAAATAGGTTCAGTTATTAGGGTTTCACTGTCGCTAATAACCTAATTAACTACGATTCATTGTATTGGTGGCCAGTCAACACAAAGCATTAAGTAATTTCATGCAATAGAGATTGGAGGAAAATAAATACGAATCAATCCATCAAATCAAGAAATAGCTACATCCTATGGTGTTTCCCCCAGAAATTGGGGTTTAGTTCATGACGAAATTGAGATAAATCGATAGGGTTTTGTTCATCATGTTCTAAATCAACAATAAACAACTAGTTCGGTTCAGAGAATCCAACCAACTAATCGGTCTCGTTGAATTCAGCTTAAACCGCCTTAGGAGAAGTCGATTCGCCAATTGAAAATCACCGCTCGATGCCTCCGACCGTGCCAAGCTTCGATGCGCTGCCTTTCTTCTATTTTCCCCCAAAGAGATTTCCGCCCAAAAATTAATTCCTCTCCTGCGTTGCTCTGTCCCCCCCCCCCCCCCCCCCCGAATTCTCTTTTTCTTCTCCCTTTTTCTATTTTTCTTTCCTTAATCCCGTGTCCAACTAAATCTCCCACAGAGAATTTTCCTCCTCCAATTAATTGCCGGTTCTCCTTCCAAAAAAAACCAAATCCCTTTCAATTAAATTGCCCCCCCTGCTTCTTCTCGTTCCCCTTCCTCCCTCCTTTAATTGCCTTCTTCCCTAATTAATTGCCCCCCAGCTGCCGCCTCTCTCTTTTCCAAAAGAGATTTTCGTTCCAATCCTCTCTTGCGTCCAAGGCCCATAAAATTCCTCCTGGCCCAAGATTAGTACTCCCCAGATCACCAAAAAACTATGGCCCACTCTTCCTTCCAAAAGTCCAAGTGAATATTGCACCAGTGATTCGAGCCCGGTTGATTGTTTGCATTCGCTTCTTTTTCGTGCTTTCTCCACCTATAACATATCAAACTCATGGCACTAGGCAGTAATGGTTTTTCAACCATTCTCAGGTTAGCGAGCCCTAAAATAGCACCAATTGACTTAAACATACCATAGGATAATCACATAAAGTTCAAGAATCCGATATATTAAAGCCGATTATCAGTAACCTTCAATCCTGTCCTCTAGAATATCCACACTCTCCCAGACTTGGACTTAGAGTAATTATCTAAATGTTATGACCCATTATAATAATTAAATAATATAATTACATGATTTTCATATAATTAATATTTTATAATTATGACCCATTACATCCTTCAAATTTGTGTTTTTATTTTGTAATATGAGAAACGTCCATCTAAATTTTTTTTATATAAAATTTCATCTAGCTTTTTCCACAATATCAATGAGTTTTTCTACTTAATATGTTCTAGCCAGTCAATAAATTTTGATCCATATACATGTTGCTTTGTCAAGGTAGTCGGTTCTCAATGACTAATGAATTTGTATTCTTGTACTACTTAATTTTGTACTTATTTATTATATAGTTTGATTTCAACAAGCTTCGGCAAACTGGAACGGTGGCGAAGTACCAAGAGAAGTTCGAGGAGCTTCGCTCGAGGATGTTGCGGCTCAATCAAGCTTTTCCCGGGTCGTACTTTGTGATGAGTTTCATCAGCGGTTGGACGAGGAAATTCAACCCATAGTGACAATGTTGAATCATCTATGCTTATCACTTGCCTTTCACCAAGCTCATATGGAGGAATCGTCCTCGGAAGAAGAAAGTTCGCAGTTGCACGAAATGAAGGAATCGTCCATTATAATTCCAGCTATACACCACCATACACAACTTTCTCATGTACCCCCTTAATTCAGGGTTAATTGCATGGTTAGTCAATGAGATTACAAAAAACGTTCAAGTTTGGTCACTCGAAATATTTAAATCCATTGATGGTACTTCATTTTACAAAAATCGTTCACGTTCGGTCACTCTCCGTTAGCTACCGTCCATCTCCGTTAAAGGAGTCCGTTAAGTGATGACGTGGCGGACGAAATTGTCTAATCAGCACTATTTAACTAAAAAATAATCTGACCTGACCCACCACGTTATTGAAATTCGCCAGCTCATCTAAACCTACCCAACCCTCTAACCAAACCAGACCCGACCAAGACAAACTATGGCGTCGCTCAAGCACTGCAATGTCGCCACAGCTCTACTCCTGGCGATCGTCTTAGCCCTGGCGGTGGTTGGGACCCAGGTGACGGTGGTTGAGGCGCAGGCATGTCCAGTCCAGCTCAACAACCTCAACGTTTGCGCGTCGTTCGCATGCCCGACGCCGCCGCTCCCAGCTTCGAGTGCTGCTCGGCGCTCCAGTTCGTCCAGCACGACTCCCTCTGCATCACTGTCCAAATCACTGCTCGTCTTCCTTCCCTCTGCAACCTCCCTCCCGTTGGCTGCTCCACTGTCTAATTAAGTGGTACTAGCTACATCGTCAAACCAATGTTCCACCTACTTAATTGGAGGACCACTCCATGGTTCAATGATTTTTCCTACTGAAACGTGGTTTTGGCTTGAATACTGATTCGTTAGCTTTGGTTTGCATATGTGTGAGGGAGAAGATGGCACGAACTCGGTCGGTGCATGTCCACAGAATAATGCCCCCCATGATTACAACTTCTTCTTCTTGTTGTTTTCGTCTCTGTTTTTTCTTTTCTTAAAGAACAATCGGCTTGTATCACGATCTGCAACCAAGCACAAGGATTTGGTTTCCGAGAAATAAAAAAAGAAGCGGAATGGCAGAATAGTTCACAACCTAGTGGATAATTTCCACGCTCCAGAGAGACATGGCCCTGCTCGAGAATCAAATCCCCTTTTTCGTCCTCGAATAGCTTTTCTATCCATAGTCCGCAGAAGCTTCAGCGGCTCGCACTCTGTTACACTCCCTGATATCCTTCTAGGGTTCTTCAAATCGGCGATAAGTTGGCCGCTGTCAACAACTCCGGCGCAGTCTACGGCTGCGGTGACGACGATGAATCTCCACGGGAGGGAAACGATTAGAATGTCGTTTAAGGGATTTAATCCTGGTGGGTAGTTGGGTTGGTGGGTCGGGTCTGGTCTGGTTTGGTTAGAGGGTTGGGTCGGTTTAGATGAGCTGGTGGGTCGGATCAGATTATTTTCGGGTTAAATAGTACTGATTAGACAATTCTGTCCGCCACATCATCACTTAACGGACTCCTTTAACGGAGACGGACGACAGCTAACGAAGAGTGACCGAACGTGAACGGTTTTTGTAAAGTGAAGTACCATCAATGGATTTAAATATTTTGAGTGACCAAACTTGAACTTTTTTTAATCTCAGTGGCCAACCATGTAATTAACCCCTTAATTCACAAGTCACGTTACTAATTTACAGAATTAGTAAAATAAACGTCATTTAATTCTGTACAACAATCATACACAATAATTTTGGTTTTGTTGAATCATACGCAACAATTTCTTATGTGTGAAAAATATTGTCATTAGATATAAATCAAATTATTATAACATATAATAATTGGTCTTTCGGCCAACTGGCGGAGCTCATAGCTACTATATATAAAAAAAATAATATTAATAAATTTCGGTGATCGCCCAATTTAATTGTTAGCGAAGCAATTACGTTACCGGCCGTCGGTTCAGACCTCCGCCAATCCCCAAGTTTTCCAAATTGCCGTTGGCGACGTCGAGGAAAGTGCGAGTGAGCCAAGAGAGAGAAGAAGCACAAACTGGGAAGGCAGCGGATCAACTGTCGTCCTCTCCATACCAAACCCTACCCGTCAATCAAATTTGGCATTCCAATCCAAATTCTTCTTCTTTTTCGATAAATTTCGTCCAAGACCCTGAATTTTTGCCGCAGGGCGTTGCCGGGACTCGGATCTGTCTAGGGAAAGCAGCCATGGATGCTCCGAGCTCGTGGGACGCTTTACGTAAACAGGTTTCCGTCCGATCACATTTACTCTTTTGCCGCCCGTAATTTCCTTACTTTTGCTCGTGAAATCGCGATAGAGCTGTTCCAATTCTGATTGGTATCTAAGGTGAATTTGACTGCAGCTGGGTTGGGAAATGATGATACGGGCACTTAACATAATCGAGACAGAATCAGGAATTGAGCTTGATTAGACTAAGCTGACATTTCAGCCTTTAAGATTTTACGATAGAGATTCCTAGTTCTCTGCACATTGGTTAATATGAAGTGTCGGTTGCAAATCCGGTTCTCGCGAGATTGCCGTAGTGCCTGACGTCGTATGTATCTAGTTCCCTGGGTGGTATGGCGGTATGCTGGGATATAGCTCTAGGTTGTGCTTGGTGTTTAACTGTAGGTACCCATTCAGTGTCCATAGGGATGAGACTCTGTTACAGCATAGAGATTGAGGCGGACGATGGGGAATGTGACCTGTACAACAAGTATGGGATAAGTTGTATACTGGGTTTCGGTTTAGCGACTTATTAGGACAAAATGATATGGCCTGCATAAGAAATAGGCAACATCTACATGAAGGATCAGTCGCCTGCAAAAGTTTTGAATGTGTTCTGAGTACGTGTGATTGTAGAGGCATCCTGAGAATTTCTGTTAAAGAAGAAGTTAATATCATCATCCTATGTGAAAGTGGAAACCTAGAATAGATTAACATCGTCGATAATGGCCTCTATCCACATTAACATACTTATATACTGCTGTAGTGAGAAGAGATTAACTGCTGAAGGAATTATTTCTGTTTCCCATGCTGTCTTCATCCTACACATCCCAGTTGTTGTTGTTGATTCGTTTAGCTGATGTACATGAGATCTTTCATGTTAAAGAATTGAGGATGACTATGATTGACAAGATCTAACCTTGATTCAATAAGAGTTCTTGTTTTGGTATCTGCGCTGATCCTCGTCCGAAGAACACTTTTGTGGACACCATGGATTGTCCATTACTCAGTTTCCCTGTTCTGCACATCTGGTGCCACTTTCAATTATCGGCATAGTTTGCTCTCAATACAATTCGCGCAAGAATAGCTCTCAATTCTTCTTTTGCAACTTTACTAAGATGATATTCTATTTCTTTAATCAGGCTGCACTTTGGCTCTCATTATCTCATAGTTTGTGATTTATACAAAACCAAGTACATACCAAGTACCTCACTTGACAAATGAAGTAGGATGTTTCCACAATCATGGATTTCACCCTTTTTCACAACCTGCTTCTACTATCTGGTTTGGTATTTTGTTTGTCTTACTAACAAATTTTCTGTGCTCGATTCAGGCTAGAAAACTTGAAGCTCAATTAGATGAACAGATGAATTCCTATCGTAAGCTAGTATCCTCAAAAGGTTCTGCAAAAGTTGATTCTGATGAGAATGATCTCGAATCTAGTATAGAACGATTATTAGATCAGCTTCAACAAGTAAGTTTGCAGATGCAAGCTTGGGTATCATCTGGTGGGTCTGAAATGGTATCGCATACCTTGACAAGGCATCAAGAGATTCTTCAAGATCTCAGACAGGTTGTGTGGCATTGTAGTGTATCTTTCTACCAGTATATGCTCTAGGCTTTGTATACATGAGATATCAGTTGTGAAATATTTCCTTCATCTGAGAAACTAATTTGATTTGTTGAGCTATTAGATGTGGGATACTCGTTTTTTCCCCTTTTTTCCAGATAAACATATCATAGTCAGGTCAATGACTTTGTCTGCTCAATATTCAAAATGCAGGAGTTTCACCGTCTTCGTTCGAGCCTGAGAGCTAAGCAAGAACATGCCTCACTTCTTGATGATTTCAGAGAGTTTGATCGGACAAGACTAGATTTAGAAGAAGGTGCAGACTCATCAGACCAGGCTCTTCTTAGAGAACATGCAACCATTAACCGGAGTACTGGACAGGTGTAGCATTGCATGCTCTTCTAAAGTACTCATGTTATCCTTATAATCTTATCCATGGTCTTTTCAGCTGTCTCATATATCCGTGTTCTGAAGTCAATGTTCTCCTTGTCGAGTAGCCCACCTGAGTCGTATTGTAGGGTTTCATTGGCAAACATGTTTTGTGGGAAAAAATTATCTATTTTACTCCTTTTAAACTAGATTTGCTTGTGGTCTTCTTATTCCAAATCAATATTATGTGTGCTCTTCACCCTGCTACGAGAGCTAGCTTCTTTCTCTGATGTTTTCGAGGCTTTTTTACTGTTGTTTCTGTTTTATATTGGTTTAGTTCTGTGCTGACTTTGACACGTGAATATTAGGGTCTTTTTTTATAAGGGTGAATATAAGGATCTTTGTAAATGCCTCCTCATTCATAAGTTTGCTGCTGAAAGTTGTGTTCGTTCTGTTAAATCATTTGCACTACACAGCCAGTGGACAATATCTTACAACATAATCTGGCTGTCTAGTTTTTATGGGGGGTATATATTGGCAGTTGGCAAGCTTGTTTGCTGTTTTTAAGACTCCTTGGTGTCTGCGGGAATATATTTTGTTTGCAAATGCATGGTTATTCACAAGGTCAGTCATCTATTGTTGTCGGTCTCAGGGTTCTACTTTCCTTTTTTTTTTCCTGGTGGGGAAGTGTCATTGGTGAAAGTTCTGATATGGCAGCTATTACCGTTCTACTGAAATTTCTGCTTTGCTATTGTGCTCCAGGTGGATACTGTAATTTCTCAAGCTCAGGCAACACTTGGTACCCTTGTTTTCCAACGTTCAACTTTCGGCGGAATCAATTCAAAGCTCACTAATGTTAGCAGCAGACTCCCAACGGTATGCAGAGCCTCTCTTCCTTTGTTCGTCGTCTAGGTTATCCCATACCGTGTTCCTGTTCTTGCTTGTGACAATTCAGTATATATGTTTATATTTGCTTATTGTTTATGGTTACGGGTGCAGGTAAATCACATTCTTTCATCAATAAAGAGAAAGAAGTCCATGGATACCATCATTCTTTCTCTGGTTGCATCAGTATGCACCTTCCTTATATTCATTTATTGGTTGACCAAGTGACCGAAGATTCAATTTTCAAGTTCTTTCTTATGGAGAATGGAATGCGTCACAGCAATCTTGCTTATTGTTGGATTTTGGAGGATCGTCCTCTCCCCCCTGGAGTGAATACTGCGGTTTCACTTTTCAGTTCACTGAAAAAACAGGAAGGAAAAAAGGACTTACAGCAGCTGCCAGTACAACTTTGTAAACTTGTAATATTTTTTCCGTGAAACAGGAGTGATCATTTGTAAAGGTCAAAAAGCATATCTGGATTGGAAGTTTAGTGATCTTTCTATATCATGAACACCTTTTCTCCAATCCTTCATTCTTATTGCTCCAACCCGACGAGGCGACTAGGATGCCGGAATGAGTTCTTTGCAAGAAATAACCGGCGGTTCACGCAACTTCGATGACCATGACAGATCCTAAATCACAGGATAACACTTGAATGGCTTCAGCCCGCTGCTGAAAGACATTCAAGTTTTCTATCATGCAGATAGGGATGGGACTGGGTCCAAAATGGGCCGGGTAGTGCTCAACCCAGACCCACCCAATTGTCTTAAAACTAGGCCCGCCCCGCCCCAAAACCCACAACCACAATGGGCCAGCATGTAATGGCCCATTGCCCAGCTCTAACGGGCCGGGTCCTACCCAAGCCCGTCCTGCACACTCAAATTACCTGTTAGCAAGCTGAAAAAATGAAAAACAAATTCAATAATAACAAAAACTCTGATTTCATTTCAACCAAAATCAAACTCCAATGCCAGTTCTAACAACTCAAGCACTCATAAACTCAATCCAAAATTCCAAAACCACATAAGTCTTAGGAGTCTCAAGATCCAAACAAAATAGAAAAGACAACATAAATTGACAGCAACTCAGCAACTCCTGCACTTGCAGCAACTCAACATTCAGCAACACTCCTCTCCTTCTCGTCCTCGAATTCAAGCCTGCCAAAGAGACAATGTATGAAAACATGATGTCAGATTGATTATCCAGTCATCCTCCAAAGTATCCTTTTTTTTTTACTAGGCTAAAACAGTGTTCTCGGGTGTACCTTATGCGTCTCATGCACCTCATCATCTGAAGAATCAGATTCATCATCATCCAAAGGATCCACTGTTTAACAAGTAGGCAAATTAGCAGCAGTTGCAAATTGCACTTAACAAGTAATGACGACAGACTTTGACAAGTAGTAGTAACAATTCCATTTAACAAACAAGCACAACCACATTAGCATTATTATTCAACCTAGCAGCAACAATTCTATATCCTAAACAGAATAATTATATCTGGCACTAGCAGTAGCAATTCCATTTAAGTAGAAGCATTAAACTCCCGCAAGCAGAATTAGTCTGACTCCCCCAACATAATCATACAATCTCTAAGTCTCATTATTCAATGGCAGAACATATTCACAATAGTACAAATTGCAGACAAATATAAGTGTAAAGAGCCGAGTAAGAAAAGTTACCAACTGAACCATCTAACAGCCAGCTTTGAGCACACATTAAGGCTTCAACAGTCTCCGGGCTAAGCCTACTACGTTGAGGACTAATGATCCTCCCACTTGTACTGAAGGCCGACTCAGAAGCCACCGCTGAAGCCGGAATTGCCAGAATATCTCTAGCAACTTTGTGCAGAATAGGATACTTTCCCTTATTGGACTTCCACCAAGACAAGAGATCAAAATTAGGAACACTCTTAATAAGCTCGTCCTCCAAATATGCATCAAGCTCTGATCTGGTTGGTCGTTTCCTTTTCTTGCTAGATGAGTACGAGTGAAACTCGAAAGCAAAAGTGCCTTGACAATCATTTGCTTCTGAGCAGCCCCCATTAACACCATTCACTTGTTCCTCCTCTCTTTCTTTCTCCTCATACTCAACAACCAGTTGACTACATAATCCAAGAATGCGCTCTACCTCATGCGCACTGTCCTTATCATAAATTTTAGGAAAATAGAACTCCAGCACCTCATGCTTAAATCTTGGATCAAGAACGACAACCACTCCCATCAAACAATTCACATCCAACCAATACTTGTTGAATTTCTCTATCATATCTAAGGCCAATGCAATGGTTGTGATACCACAAACAGACCACATGTTTAAAGCTAGTTTAATCTCACAAATGATAGGGAAAAACAGGTTTGCAGTTGTAACATCTCGCTCCGGCAAAACCCATATTTCGATCGCTAGAAAGTTCGGGATTTAAAATCGAGCGTTTTGATAATATTTCGGCGGAAATCGGATTATCAATCGATCGGATAAGTATACGTATCAATCGATCGTATTAAAATCGAGCGGTATCAGAGCCTCTTCGCGTCCCTCTTGAAAGATGGTGGGGCAAACCTCAACGAGGACGTTGAGTCCCAAGGGGGGGGGGGTGTATGTAACACCTTAGGCGAATCCCACATCGACAAAGCACGGGAGAGATCCATGGTTCATAAGTAAGAAACCGACCTTAACTGACAAGACGCGTTTTGGGGTGTAATGGAGGAGTTCTTGTGAGAACTCCGAAGTTAAACGTGCTTAGAGTGGAGTACAACAAGGATGGGTGACCTTATGAGAAGTCACCTTGAATTGCACTCCAAGTTGAAATCCGTGCGGGTGTAGAGGCCCAAAGCGGACAGTATCTTGTCGGGAAAAGGTTCGGGATGTTACAGCAGTAGGATATTGAGTGCGTGATAACATATTAGTAGCTCTATAAAATATATTCAACCTTCTGCAAATTTCCCTTGTCATTTCCCAGTCTTGTTCAGTAGGCACATTTTTATACTTTGGCTCCCGACGTTTCAAACGATAAAAGACATCTTTGTATCCCATTGTAGTATCAAGCATCAAGTAATTCGAATTCCAGCGAGTATCACAATCGAGAATAAGTTTCTTACCATTCACAATGTTACGTTGGGAAGCTGTCTCTGCAAACATTTCGACCCTCTTTGGTGTTGCCAGCCAGAATTGACAACTACTTCGTATGCTCTCAATTGCACCTCCAATGACTTTAAGACCTTCCTTCACAATCAAATTGAGGATGTGTGCACAGTAGCGCATGTGGATCATAGAACCACCAAGAAAAAAAGAATCTGTGGTTGTTGAAAGCTTGTCCAGAAGTAAGGCCATCATTGCATCATTGGTTGAGCAATTATCTACGGTGATTGATGATAATTTCCTGTCTAGGTTCCAATCCAACAAACACTTCACCAAAGCTTCACAAAGAGATTCGCTAGTATGGGGGGCATGCACATAAATGAATCTACAAAAGTTTAAAAGAGTAAACAGAGTAAGCAAACAAAATTAGGCAGTAAGCAAACAAAAATTAAACTGCAACTCTACAAACTATAGGATACCTGATAATCCGACTGTGTAGATTCCACTGGTTATCGATGAAATGGGCTGCGATTGCCATAAATCCCTTCTTTTGGTGAGTAGATGGCCACATATTTGTGGTAAATGCCAGTCGACCTTCATTCTTATCCATAATCTTCTTTGTAGCTGTCTTCTCAAGGTAAAAAATGTTCAAGCAATCCTTTTGAATGGTTTTTCGGCAAACCATCTTACAGCAAGAAAGATACGATTGCTACTGTTAACATGGTTTAGTTGAATTAGAAAAGCTACAAAAGTCTCGTGAGAGTCTAAGAGAGATAAGAAAACTTTGTGAATCATGATCAAATTACCTACCCTTGACCGAGATTGGAGAAGATGATTTGTACCGCTTCAAGCAACTGAATAACTCAAGTGAACTACTAAAGTACTGAACGTCTAAGAATCTGAGTGACTCGAGCAAAGACAACTTCAAGAAAGCAATCCTCAACTAGCTGGCTTTGAGTTACAAGGAAGAGCAATCAGGGTTTCTATTTATCTATGGAAACTGAAATTGGAATGGGGGTGGAGGAAACGAAACGGTGACCTATGGATAGGAGATGGAGAAGGAAATCGAAATCTGATAGGCTGAATTCATGATGGTTTTTCTTCGGGAAGCCAAACATCTCGTTGGCTGAATGGATTCTTCTTGGGGTTGAGGATGGAGGGTTAATGATGGAGTAAATGGGAGAGGGGAGGGGAAGAGTTGGACACATGTAGGGGTTGCTGGGAATTGAGATTATGGATTGTTCTGTAATTGGGAAAAGGGGAGGGGAAGATCGATAGACGAAAGGGGCTAAGCAGCGGGGCGGGTCGGGGATGGGGTTATACCCAAGCCTGGACTGGACTGTGGGCGGGCCGGGTCGAGACCCGCCCCATCTCTTAACTGGCCGGGTTTTATCCGTCCCTATGCGGGCTGGGCCGGGTCAGACCCGCCGGATCGGGCTCAAAGTCCCTAGCCTACATGCAGAGCCTTTCTTGTAGTTCCCGTTCGCTTGGTAGTTAATTGACTAGTTGTTAAGCTTCCTGAATAATGCCGCTTGCTTTGATAAAGTAAAAGTCATCATCAAACATGACTAATGCCAAACTAGATTCCTTCTTGCGAGTCGAGAGAGACACACTTGCATTGGTTGTCCGGTCTCCTTGGTGACATAGTTAGCCTATATAGCAGCACATTAGTTGGTCCTCAGCGGCGGATGACACATTTAGGGCTGGGAAAATAGACCAGATCGTTAAAAAAAACGTGGTCCAAACCGTACCGTACAGTTTGGTCCGGACCGTAGACCGTTAAGTATGGTCTGGTCTGGTACATGGTCTGTACTATTTTATATTTTGATCTCTTGGTCTGGTCTGGTCTAGACCGCGGTTTACCAGACCAAACCGTGGACCCAACTGACTTGTAAATACGTGTTAACAGCCCATTCGACCACTCTCCCAACTCCCAAAACGACACCCAAGTCTCAACCTTAGTTCTGTGAATCTCGTCCCTCCTTAATTCACAACCACATTTAACTAGAGAGTAGAGATAATCGTGTCTCCATATGACATTATGTTAATGTTTATGACGTTATGGTGCAAGTTGGGATGCTTTTACTTTGTATCTTTGGTATGTACTAAGATTTAGAGTATCAAAATTATTCATGCATGTTAGGATTAATG